CCCCCCATTCTAATCAATACATAAATACTTCTAGAGTAACACCAATTATTTGGTATGAACTTGGGATTAAGGGAACTTTCTATCCTTTAAGAATGGAAGGAAGGAAGGAGAGAACGAAGAAAACAAGCATTTATTAAGTGCCTACGATGTGCCAGTTACTGTGCTAAGCACTTTACAAATATTTCATTTGATCCTCACAACAACCCTGGAAGGTGTGTGCTTGTATTTGAGACTTGGCTGTAATTCTCAATAGCTCATTGACTTGAAGCATAACTAATCATATTAAAAATATTTTTAAGTATCATTAACTGAGTATGAATAAAAAATGAAATAAAGCATTGTAAAAAAAAATTGTGGCAAGATGACAAAGCCCCAGAAGTACTGATTGTGGTGATAAATGCACAAAAAGATTTTTAAAAACTAGTTTGGAGGCAAGCAAGAGATTAGAGAGTAGTGAGGACGATGTTTAGGCATGATGAAGTGATAGTGATAAGGAGGGGTCCTGCAAAAAGGCTAAACAAATAAAATCTTCCTTGGCTTTAGTTTTCTCTTTGAAGAATCTTTGAACTGGAAATGACTGCCCAAAAATTCTCAGCAGGAAGTGGATACCAAAAGTAAAAGGAGATAGACAGGATCCAGCTGTTCTGATGGGAGTGTATACTGTGTTTGTGTAGGAAATTTATGTGTCCCTGAAAGATCTTGGAGAATGGAGGAGCTGCCACAGTACTAGAAAAGGGGACATATGCCAGGTTTCAAAAAACAGGGTGGATTTTGCAAAGCCTAGACCAGTGACTTCTAATTCTGGCAAATTCCTCGACTGCCTTACCAAATGAGTGGTTAAGGAGCAATTAGAAAAGACTGTATTTTTTTTTTTTCTGTAATATTTTTTGCTCTTTCACTAGTCATTTCTGGAAAAAGTCTCAACTTCACAGGCTAGATTTTGCCCTGCTTTATATCAAAGAAAAATTTATACAGAAATGACCATTATGGTGACTTACCTGATAATTCATACAATATTCTCCTTTGGTGGTCTCCCTCTTCTCTGCTATGAGAAGTTGTAATATCTTTTCATTTACTTAAAGTTCAGCATCTTTTCTATTTTTTTTTTAAAAAGTATATTGTTATATATTTTATAGTTCCATTGGCTCTGCTTATTTCACACTGCATCAGTTAATGTGCATCTTATACTGCTCAGAATTTCTCATATTTGTCATTTCTTACTGAATAATATTAGTCCATTGTATTCATATGCCTTTTTTCCTACCATTCTTTATTAATGAGAATTCAATTTGTTTTTGTTTCATTGCTGCTCCAAAGAGTGCTCTTATGAATGTTTTTGTGTATAAATTTAGTTGTGCCCTTGTTCTAGTTACAGAGAAAAGGTATGGCAACATGATATAGTGAAAATAGCTCTGACTTTGAAGTCAGGAAGCCCTGGGTTCAAATGCAGGTTTGCTGTTTATTCCCCTTTGGACCTTAAGCAAATTACTTTCCCTCTCTGGGCCTCACTTCCTTAATTTGTAAAATGAGAAAGTTGGACTCTAAAGTCTCTTGCAACTCTCAATATGTGAGTTGGAAAATAATGATCCTTTAACACCCTTTCCAGCTGTAAAAAAATTTTTCATGTATTGTTGAAGACAGGAGATAGTAGTACCTTATGCTCACCTTTGCTCTCATGACTCCAAGAGCATTGAACACAATTGTATTCATTTCAGAGCACCACATTTTAAGAAGCACTATGATTGAGTGAAGAGAGGAAGGCAGCTACTTTAGAGGTGAAGAGACCAGGCTGGTTGGTGGAAGGAACTGGGGATGTTTGGCCTGCAAGAGCAGACTTAGGGCCACATGATAGCTCTTCCCAGCTATTTCATTTTCCAGGAAGTAGTCATGTTACTGCTTTAGCTCAGAGGACAGAAGTAGGAGCCAGGGTGCATATTGTACAAAACCATAGTTTAAATTGATGTCATTGGATCCATTAACAACAATAAGCATTTATTAAGTGCCTGCTATTTGCCAGGCATTGTGCTAAGTGCTGAGGAAACAAAGAAGGGAAAAGAGCTCCTGCTCTCAAAAAGCTTGCAGTCTAATGGGAGAGGAATTCTTAAGTGCCTTCTATGTACTAGGCACTGTACTGGGTTGCAGATATTTAAGTGAAGCTTTCCCTACTGTCAATGAGCTTACATTAGAACTTCAAAACAAAGCTGAAAAAGATTCTGGGAAGATGACGGAGTAGGTCAGAAAATTCCAAGCTCTCAAGATTTTCCCCTTCAAGAGTGATAAAATAGCACCTCAGGAGAACATAGAGCAGTAAAAATAAATAAGAGTCAGGACAGAACAGGGGTCCTCCTGAGACAATTGGAGAAGATCTGAAGAAAAATCCCGGGATGAGGTTTGTGAAGAGTAAACACTGCCAGGCTAGGGTTCACTTAAATAACAAGCAGCAAGCCCTGGGGCTAGCTGTGTTGGGAGACTGCCTCAGCCTCAGCTATAGGAACTTTTACCCCTGGGACAGTGAGGGGAGTTAAGTGTCTGAGCTGGAGAAGATTGAGGGAAGGTCTGCTAATAAGGAACGCCAGACCCAGCCGTGCTGTGGAGATGCATCTGGGAGCCAGAAGGAACCAGCACAGGCCAGGTGAATGCAGAAGCAGTGGGATACTGGCTGTGGTCACTTACAAGAAGGCTGGAGGTCTTGGTTTCAATTCCAGGACAGAGGGGAGAACTGAATGGAGGATCTGAGGCCAGAGACACCATCCCCCGTACCCCAGGACTAGAGGTGATTACAGAAACTAGGCTACTGCAAATTTTAAAAATGCACAAGCAAAGGAGAAAGAATCCAACCATAGAGAGTTACTATGGGAATAGAGAAAATAGAAGTTTGTTTACAGAGGAGGCTACTGAAGCAAAGAAACCCTCTTCTACCCCAAAGAGGAATGTCAAATGGTCACCTGCCCCAAAAGAATTCATAGAAGAACTTAAAAAAGACTTAAAAAATCAAATAAGAGAGACTAAGGGAAAACTAAAAAAAAAAAAAAATCCAGGAAAAACACGAAGATTATGAAAAGGAAGTCAACCAATTAGAAAAGGAGATCCAGAATCTTAAGGAAGAAAATGATTTCTTGAAAATCAGAATCGGACAAGGAGAAGCCAGCAAAGTTATGAGAAATCAAGAAATAATAAAACAAAATATAAAGTGAAAAAATAGAAGAGAATATGAAGCATTTCATAAGAAGAACAACTGATCTGGAGAACAGATCAAGAAGAGAAAACTTAAGAATAATCAGACTACTTGAAAGCTACGATCAAAAAAAGAATCTTGATATAATAATACAAGAAATAATTAAAGAAAATTGTCCTGAAGCATTAGAACAAGAGGGAAAAGTATAAATAGAAAAAAATCTGCTGATCAGCCCCTGAAAGAGATCCTGTGAGGAAAACCCATAGGAATGTTATAGTCAAATTCGAAACTCCCAGCTGAAGAATAAAATATGAGCAACAGGAAAGAAAATATGGCAGTGCTACAATTAGAAACACACAAGACCTAGCAATGGTGACACTAAAAGACCACAGGTCTTGGAACACTATTTAATGAAGAGCAAAAGAACTGGGGTTCCATCCAAAAATATACCCAGCACAGGTAAGCATAATCCTGAATGGAGAAAAAAATAGACATTTAATGAATTGTCAGACTTTGAGGACTTTGTTTAAAAAAAAAATCTCTGAACTTAGAAGATTTGACATACAGGAGCCAAGAGAAATATAAGACACATACCAAAGACTAATTACAAAGACAGTCTGTTTACCTTTTATGTATGTAAAATGTAAAACATATGTCTAAGATTGTCATTTGTAATTGGATAGTTTGTAAGAATGATTGAGGTAGACCTTAGTGTGATATGACTTTAAAAAGTAAAACCATTTAGGAAAAGCTAAAAAGAGTAATTATCTTATACAAATGAGGTGTGAGAGGAAGAACAGATACATAGGAATTAGATGGGGGAGGAGGGCAGTTAGTTCTAGAAACCTGCTTTCATTGGAAATATATCTTGAAGAGTATAAAAGTTTTCTAAATTCAGGGGCAGCTGGGTGGCACAGTGGATAGAGCACTGGTCCTGAAGTCAGGAGGACCTGAGTTCAAATCCGGCCTCAAACCAAACAATTGACACTTACTAGCTGTGTGACCTGGGCAAGTCACTTAACCACAATTGCCTAAAAAAAAAAACAAACTTCTAAATTCAGAAAGAAAATGCTTAGGGGATGAGGGGAGGGGATAAGTGAGGGATCTCTAGAGGGGAAGGTGAGGAAATATGTTAAAGGGAGGTATAGAAGGGAATTTAGATTAATGGAAATGGGGAGGATAAGGGAGGGATTCCTGGAGGGGGGCAGGTTAAGTAAAGGAGGGCAAGGTAGCAGGTACAAGTAGAGGAGTCAGGAGGGGTAGGAAATAAGAGATGCACAAACATAAAAACAAAGATCAGGAGTAGAATTTGTCAGGGCAAGTATATGTCTGTGTGTGTGTGTGTGTGTGTACATATATATATGTATATATATTTGTGTACTATATATGTATATATGTATCTATATATGTATCTATATGTATCTACATCTATATCTATATCTACATATGAGTGCTTCATTGTAGCCTTGGGTGGGGAGGAACGGGGGATAAAAGGACAAAGTAAAAAATGCACAACAGAGAACGAAAGAAATCTTACAAGGAAGCAAAGAAAAGATGGAAAGCTCTCAACGCAACACATAGTATTTATTATATAGGCTTTCCTGAAATGGAAATTTATTCCTATGTATTTTGAATCCCCTGTTATGTTTTGCTGTGCACATAACATACTTTTTGTTTCTTATTTTGTATTTGTTTCAATATTTAAGCTTATAATGTTTATTTTTCTTTTCTCTTTTGTGTATTTAAGTTTTAGTATTTAAGCCTAAAATAAAAAAAAAAATTTAGAGTTATACCTGGGTAAGCACGAATATTTTTGGTGTTTCAGGAATTGGTGACATTCAAGGATGTGGCTGTGGAATTCACTTGGGAGGAGTGGGTGCATTTGAACCCATCTCAGAAAACACTGTACAAGGATGTGATGCTGGAGAACTATAGGAACTTGGTCTCTTTGGGTAAGAGCAGCTACCCCTTTGGAGTCTTGATATATACTATAGAGACTTTCAGGATCTTAACAGTTTACTCTTTGGTATATAAGAGTATATCTTTTGGCATACAAGAGGAAAGTATTCCTAATCCTTTTGTTGCCAAGAGACAGAGTACTTGTGCTGCCTGTTTCCAGGAAAGAATGTCTTTACTTGTTATCCTTGAGAATGTATCATCCCCTCTCTGTTGCTTCAAATCCACAATTTTCTGTTTAACCTCAGTGTATCATCTAAGCAGGGAGTGAGTCAAATGAACTGTTTTTCCTAAGTCCCATTCTATAACCCATTCCCACATCATATAGAATATCTTTTAGTGGTCCTTTGTAACTATCTTTGGGGTCTTTCTAGCATGTCTATTTTTTTTCCCCCATAGAGAAGAAGCTTGAACCACTTTTTAATTCTTTTATTGTTTCATGGATGCTTTTTCAAAAAAAAAAATGTCATTTTTTTTCCTTCCCTGTCCCCTGTCCCATCTAAAAAAATGAGAACCCTACCTTTCCCTCCAAACAGCCCATTGAGCCCTGCCTGGTTGAAAAAATAAAATGACACAAAATTAACTAGTGCCTGTGCCTGTGATACATTCCCTTTACTCCCCTACCTTTCTACTAAGAGTTTGAAGGAGTATTTCATCTGTCAGTTCTATGATGGAATTCTGAGATAACTGTTTCTAGCATTTTTTCATTTTCAACTAACAGGATTTGCAGTTTCTAAACCAGATGTGATCTACCAATTGGAAAGAAAGGAAGCATCTTGGATACCAGGGGCAGATATCCCAAGAAGCAGCTATCCAGGTGACTACATAAAAACCAAGCAGATGGGTCACTGCAAAATACAGCTCTGTTGGTCATTGTAGGTCAAAGCTTTTATAAAATGTTGAGCAAGGTGGTCTTATTAAAGCCTCTCTGGCCTGGTGAGAGAAGCTGAGAATTGAAAACTTCATTTTTTAACTCAAGAAGTTAATTTTTTATACATCTCTTTGCTCACATGTACCTCCACTCTAAAAGAAAGTTTTCTGAGGAACGGGGTAGGTATTTCTCTTATGTTCACTGAAAATTGTCTTATCTTAAGCAGGCATTCTCCTACCTCGTTTCCATTGATTCATTCTCCCTTTTAAAATAAACACATTACTTAAGATATTAACAATATGCCCTTTTCACTTCTGAGTCTCCTTCTGATATTTTCTTCTGTCTTGTTTTTATGATTATGTTGTTTTGCTCCTGTTCCTTTTTAAAATACTTAATCATAACCTAATTCCCCTTTCTTTAGTCTGCCTTTTATGTCATTCTATTTTTCTTTATGCTTTGAAATTATGTTCATACAAGTATAGTAATATGTTCATATGACAGGACTTGTTTAACCGTAACCCCATTGTTGAACCTGTAGATTTTCAGTATTTTGCTATTTCACAAAAACCTGCCTTGTATTTTTTTGAGACAGATCTTTGTTTTCTTTCAATAACATTTTGAGGATGTAAACCTAGTAGTGTGATTATTGGATCAAACGATATGAACAGTTTTGGAGATCTAGCTTAAGTTACTATGTTGCTTTTCAGAAAAAAATTACAGTAGCAGCTTAATAAGTACCTATTTCTATATAACTTCCAAAATTTCTTATTATTTTAAAGTATCTTTGCTAATCTGATAGCTATTTGGTGATACCTCCAAATTGTATTCATTTTTACTTCTTTGATTACTGGAGTTTGAGTAATGTTTCTAGTAATTATTAATTATTTATTTTGTTAAAAAATACCTGTACGTCCTGATCATTTACCTTTTTGGAATTGAATTTTATTCTTACAAATTTGAATCAATTCCTTACAAAGTAGATATGTTGTATTTTTAGAGAAAATTTATGGCAACAATTCCTGATATTACCTCCTTTCCTCATACTTCTTTATTCTGTTTACCTCCTCTCTCTTTCTATCTCTCCTCCTCACTCCTAACTCATCAGTTCTCCTATTTTTTTTTGTGTTAAGTGTTTTCCCTTTCTATTTTCACCTGATACTGTAAGGATATATTTGCAAGCTCTCAAATCATCTACTTTGTATGGATAGTCTTTCATTTCCTTATTGCATTCATATGTCAGCCATTTAGAGTAGAGTAAGGGCTTATTCATCTTCCAGGTAATTTCATCCCATCAATTCATTTACATATGTTAACTTTGAGTCTTCATACTTTCACATAAGATAAACTGATCCTTAGTGAAAGATCAGTGAGAGTAGCTCTCTCAAGTAGGAAGGCAAGAGAATAGCTCTAAAACCTTTGAGCCATCAGGAACCTTGGGAAAAGGGGGGTGGGGGGAAGGCAGTTAATCAGCTCTTTATTCTTTCTTTCAGAGAGCAAAGAATTTAATGGAAAGAAACCTTATGTATGTAGTGAATGTGGAAAAGCCTTCAGAAGGAGGGCACATCTTACCGTGCATCAGAGAATTCATACTGGAGACATTCTTTATGAATGTAAGGAGTGTGGTAAGGCTTTTCACTACAATTCAGCACTTATTCTACATCAAAGAATTCATACTGGAGAGAAACCTTATGAATGTACTGAATGTGAGAAGGCTTTCAGGAGTAAGACACAACTTACTGTGCATCAGAGAATTCATACTGGAGAGATTCTTTATGAATGTAAGGAGTGTGGGAAAGCTTTTCACTATAACTCGGAACTTATTCGCCATCAAAGAATTCATACTGGAGAGAAACCTTATGAATGTACTGTATGTGGGAAGGCCTTTAGGAGGAAGCCACATCTTACTGTGCATCAGAGAATTCATACTGGGGAGAAGCCTTATGCATGTAGTGAATGTGGCAAGGCCTTCAAAAGGAAAGCACAACTTACTGTGCATCAGAAAATTCATACTGGAGAGATGCTTTATGAATGTAAGGAGTGTGGGAAGGCTTTTCACTACAACTCAGCACTTATTCTACATCAAAGAATTCATACTGGGGAGAAACCTTATGAATGTAGTGAATGTGGGAAGGCATTTAGGATGAAGGCACGTCTTACTGTGCATCAGAGAATTCATACCGGAGAGATTCTTTATGAATGTAAGGAGTGTGGGAAGGCTTTCCACTACAACTCAGAACTTATTCCACATCAAAGAATTCATACAGGAGAGAAACCTTACGAATGTATTGTGTGTGGGAAGGCCTTCCGCCGGACTGTAGATCTTACTCAACATCAGAGCATTCATACTGGAGAGAGACCTTATGAATGCAATCAGTGTGGGAAAACTTTCACACTGAAGAAATATCTTGTTCAGCATCAACGAATTCATTCTGGATAGCAACCCTGTGAAGGTAATATATGTGGGAAGGCCTTTAAACTGAGAACACTACTTTATGTCCATCAGAATTCTTCCTGGAGAGATTCTTCATGAAAGTGAGGAGTGTGGGAAGGCCTTCCATCATAACTCAGATTTTATTAGACATCAAAGAATTCACACTGGAGAGAAACCTTATGAATGTAGTGAATGTGGGAAGGCCTTCAGGAGAAAGGCACATCTTATCTGCATTAGAGGATTCATACAGGAGAGAAATGTTATAATGTAATGAATGTGGGAAGACCTTCAAACTGAGGACAAAATTTCCTCAGCCTCAGAGCATTCGTTCTGGAGAGGAATCTTGTGCATGTGAGATCTTCAGATTGAGGACTCACTCAACATCAAGGAATTCAGGTGGTTTCTTCTGTTCACGCTGCACCTGTGGCTGGGCTCCCAGGCTAGCATCCCTTAAAGGTTACTGGCAAGGTGGAACTTTGGTATAGTGGGGCCTGGTGGCAGCCCTGGAAACAAAAGCATCCACCGTGGCAGCAGCCTCGCTCAAGTTCTGACTTCTCCCCAGGAAGAAAGCAGGTGATGTCAGATGAGGAGCTCTTGCTTCTCCACAGTGAGATGGTGACCAGCGTCCACAAGTTTGCAGAGCCAGGGGAGGTGGAAAATGGAAGATGCATTACTAATGTGGAGAAGGTGGGTTTTAGAGTGGGAAAAGGCTTGATAGAAAGATTTACAAAGAACACTCCAAGGTTCACGGATGAATTAAATATAATGAAGTTCATTTGCAAGGTTTTTGGGACCGATGTTTTCTAGAAACAAATTGATAAATCCAGGGACAAATCATCAGGGTATCTATGTGTTTCAGGACAACAAATTTTGACTCCTGACTTAGATGTTTTTAGGAAAACAGTATTTAGATCATGCATCTAAGTATTTACATTTACCTGTGGTTTAATGAAAGATGGTTTATCAGATTTGGGGATAAAAAGTATTGTGCCAGCTGAAGTGTCACCAATTCTAGCATGTAAATTTCAAGTGATGATATAAAAGATATAGCATGTACTCAAATGCTTCTACAATGTAAGGAGATTAAATCATTGATGTATAAAGGTTTTTGAGTAGTAACTTTTGACTTACTGGTATTGTCAATAAGTTTCTACGATACATTGATTCATGTAAGCTAAATGTTAATTTATTTTATGATGTAATATGAACTCTCAAATGAGATGACCATATTATAGTATATGTATCATCTGATGGAATGGGAGAGTATCAAAAAAAAATTTCCTGATACCCTATACTGCAGTTCTGTTACAGTATACCAATTACACCCTTATTTCATTACAAATGATTATTAAATAAGCACTGCAACCAAATAACATTTCTTCATGCTGCTTCACTGGTTCATGATAATATGTATTTGGCATTAAAAAGACGGGCAGGGAGGAAAAAGTCAAGTCATTTGTACCCAGTTTTTTCAAGTTCAGAAAGAAAAAAGAATAAATGGATTTTTTTAAAGTTAGAAGTAAATGTTAACATGAACTTAAATGATACTATAAGTGACGCTGGAATAAAGTTTGTTTCCAGTAAAAGCAATTTTCATATTTTTATGAAGAGGCTTTGTATGTAAGTCCGGTCATGGGACTGCAAAAACTAGGAGTGAGAGAGGATTTCTGAATTCAGCAGCGGTGGAGAGGAGGTAACTGAAAGAAATTAAGTTGATAGGTTGGTTACTAGATGAGATAAGTCACTAAAGGATTATATCTCTAAAAATACATGAGACCAATCAAGATGACTCTTCACATAGAAAAGGTTACTTTTCAAAGTCAATTTCATTACATTCAGCTATTGAATAATTGAGAATGTCCATTTTTCAACCATACTATTTAACAGGAACATTCAGTTTCAACATTTTAAAATATATTGCATATATTAAAATGTCTTTTCTGTATTAAGTATCCCCCATGGTTTGCCAGTAGTATGCAGTAAATATTGTTTGATTTCTTTTTTTAAAAAGTTTTAAAAATCAAAGAATTCACTCTGTATTGTACTGGGAAGGCCTTCTTGTGGACTGTAACTCTTACTCAGTATCAGAGTATTCATACTGGAGAGAGACCTTATGAATGTAATGAATATGGGAGGACTTCAGACCAAGGACACAGTTTCCTAAGCGTTCATTCTGTAGAGCAACCTGATGAATGTAATCACAACCGTGTACTACAACTTGTTCAGACATGCGCCAATTGATGGGCATCCCCTCAATTTCCAATCACAAAATCCAAACCACGAAAAGAGCTGCTATAAATAGTTATATGCATATCAGTTCTTTTCCTTTTTTTTTTTTTTATCTCTTTAGGATACAGACCTGGTAGTGGTCTTGCTAAGTTAAAGTGTATGCATGGTTTTATAGCCTTTGGGCACAGGTACAAACTGCTGTCCAGATTGGTTGGATCAGTTCACAACCTCACCAACAGTGCATTAGTACATCCCAGTTTTCCTACATCCTCTCCAACATTTATCATTTTCCTTTTTTGTCATATTAGCCAATCTAATAGGTGTGAGGTAGTACCTCAGAATTGTTTTAATTTGCATTTCCCTAATTAGGATTTAGAGCATTTTTTTCATATGACTATAGATAGCTTTGATTTCTTCTAAAAACTGCCTGTTCGTATCCTTTGAGAATGACTTGGAGAATGACTTGTGTTCTTTGAAATTTGAGTCATTTCTCTATATATTTAAAAAATTGGGCCTTTATCAGAAAAACTTGCTATAAAATTCCCTCACCCTCCTTTCCCTTCCCCACCCGTTTTCTGCTTCTTATTAAATCTTGGCTGCAATTGGTTTTGTTTGGCTAAAATTTTTTTATTTAATGTAATCCAAATTATGCATGTTATCTCCTGTGATCCTCTCTGTCTCTTGTTTTGTCATAAATTCTTCCGTTATCCATGTAGTACAGAGCAGATAGTTCTTTCTTGTTCTAAGTAAAGCTTATTTCTTTATGCCACAGACTGGATATTGGCCACCTCTAGAATTCACAAGAGGTCAAAATTGTGAAGCAGCATTCTCGCCTGCCCTTCTTGCTATTGTTATTCCCAATCAACCTGAAAATTTTCGAATTGGTATTGGCTCTAGGACCTGGGGGTGGAGGGAGAGAGGTAAAGGTTAGTAAAGGGAAGGGGGAAACAAATAATCACTGCTTTTCAGCCTTGTATGAAGGCATTGTTGGTGTCTAAATTGGGTACTCATTTTGACTTTATTTTAGTATCCACTGTGAGCTGTTGGCCTATACTTTCTGTTAAACTGCTTTCTAGTTTTCCTGGAAGTTTTTGTGAGGTAGTCAGTTCTTATCCCAAACGTTTAAGTCTTTGCATTAATCAAACACTAGATTACTAAGATCATTTAGTACAGTGTATTGTGTACCTACTCTATTCCACTGATCTACCACTCTGTTTCTTAACCAGTACCAGATTTTTTTTATGATAACTGCTTTGTTTGAGATTGGGTGCTGTTGGACTAACTTCTTTCACGTTCCTATTCATTGATTCCTTTGATATTGACCTTTTTTTCTTCCAGATGAATTTTATTATTTTTTCTAGCTCTATAAAATAATTTTTTGGTTTTGGTATGGCACTGAATAAGTAGATTAAATTTATTATGTTGGCTTGTCCTACACATGTGCAATTAATATTTTTCCATTTGTTTAGCTCCAACTTTGTGTGAAAAGTGTTTTGTAATTGTGTTCATATACTTCCTGGATTTGTCTTGCCAGGTAGCCTCTCAAGTGTTTTATATTGTCTGCAGATATTTTAAATGGAATTTCTCTTTGTCTCTCTTGCTACTGGACTTTGTTGACAATATATAGAAATGCTGATGATTTATGTGGATTTATTTCATACCTCACAACTTTGCTGAAGTTGTTGTTTCACCAAGTTTCTTAGTTGACTCTCTAGGATTCTTTAAGTATACAATCATATCATCTGTAAAAAGGGATAGTTTTGTTTCTTCCTTGTATATTCTAATTCCTTCAATTTCTTTTTCTTACCTTATTGCTATAGTTAGCATTTCTAGTACAATATTGAATAATAGTTGGGATAATGGGCACACCTGATCTTATTGGGAAGGATTCTAGCTTATCCTAATTACAGATAATGCTTGCTGATGGTTTTAGATCGATATCCCTTATCAGTATCCCTGATAATTGCTTTAATTTCTTCTTCATTGGTGATATATTCACCCTTTTCATTTTTGATAGTGGTAATTTGGTTTTCTTCTTTCTTTTTTGTAAACAAATTAACCAGTGGTTTCTGTTTTATTGGTTTTTCATAAAACTAGCTCCTACTTATATATTAGATAAATAGTTTTCTTACTTTCATTTTTATAAATCTCTCCTGTCACTTTCAGGATTTCCAATTTGGTGTTTAAATGGGGATTTTTAATTTGTTCTTTTTCTAGTTTTTTTTTTTTTTTTTTAGTTGCATGCCCAATTCCTTGATCTTTCTCTCTTTTATTGATGTAAGTGTTTAGAGTATACATTTTCCCATAAGTACTGTTTTGGCTGCATCCTGTAAATTTTGGTGTATTGTTTTCATTCCCTTTAATGAAATTACTGATTGTTTTTATGATTTGTTCTTTGCACTCATTTTTTAGGATTAGATTATTTAGTTTCCAATTAATTTTTAATCTATCTTTCCACATCTTTTTATTCAATATAATTTTATTTGTGCTTTTTAAATATATCTGTGCTTTTCTGCATTTGGTTGTAAGATTTTTATGCCCTAATGTGTGGTCAGTTTTTGTGTAGGTGCCGTGAGACACTGAAAAAAAGGAGGGTTTTTTTTTTCTATTCTCATTCATTTTTCCCCAGAGTTCTATCATATCTAATTTTTCTAAAATTCTATACATCTTTTTAACTTGTGCTCTATTTAAAATTTATTTCTTTAGCTCCTCTAGCAATTCTTGTTGGCCTTGTGTCCAATCTCATTTTTCCCTCACAAAGGTTTTGTTTGTAGATGTTTTCGTGTTGTTGT